AGCCATTTTGGCACCACCTTACCTCCGTGCTTATGATTTGAACAAACTTGAATCGTCACTACCTGAGGATGATTCCCTATGAATATAACTAAGCATGGCTTTGAAGTACTTTTAAAAGGTTTCCCTATATATTCCAATGAAAAAAATTTGATCGGCCATTTTGGCCCCACTCTACCCTCGGGGTCATGATTTGAACAAACTTGAATCTGCACTACCTGAGAATGATTCCATAATTATGAGTTTCATCTTTCCATGCCCAGTGGTTCTTGAGAAGAAGATTTTTAAAGATTTTTTAAACATATTCCTATGATAAAATTTGATCAGCCATTTTGGCCCCAACCTGCACGGGGGTCATGATTTGAACAGAATCGAATTTATCACTACCTTGAGGATGATTCCATATAAATATAACTAAGCATGGCTTTGAAGTACTTGAATAGAAGATTTTAAAAGTTTTACTAATATATTCCAATGTAAAACTTTTATGGGCCATTTTGTCCCCCACCCTATCCTCGGGGGGTTATGATTTGAACAAACTAAATCTACCCTACCCGAGGAAAATTATTTACATGAGTTTCATCTTTCCTGGCCCAGTGGTTCATGAGAAGAAGATTTTTAAAGATTTTTCCTGTATGTTCCTTTGTAAAACTTTGGTCGGCCAGTTTGGCCCCACCCTAGTCCCGGGGATAATGATTTGAACAAATTTAGAATCTACACTACCTGAGGATAATTCCATGTGAGTTTCATCTTTCCTGGTCCATTGGTTCTTGAGAAGAAGATTTTTAAAGATTTTTCCTATATATTCCAAGTAATACTTTGATCGGCCATTGTGGCCCCACCCTAGCCTCTGGAGTCATGATTTGAACAAAATTGAATCTACACTACCTGCGGATGCTTCTACATGAGTTTCATCTTTCCTCGCCCGGTGGTTCTTGAGAAGAAGATTTTTAAAGATTTTTTCCTATATATTCCTATGTAAAACTTGGGTCGGCCATTTTGGTCCCACCCTAGCTCCGGGGGTCAAGATTTGAACAAAGTTGTATTTTCACTACCTGAGGATGATATCAAATGAGATTCATCTTTCCTTGCCCAGTGGTTCTTGAGAAGAAGTTTTTTAAAAATACCATTAATTTTTCTCTCATTCATAATTATCTCCCCTTGGAAAAGGGCATGGCCCTTCATTTGAACAAACGTGAATCTCCTTTACCCAAGGATACTTTGCAGCAAGTTTGGTTAAAATTGGCCCAGTGGATCTTGAGAGAAGAAAATAATGTGAAACGCTTACGACGACGACAACGACAACAAATACGACAACGACAGACAACGGACAAATTTTGATCAGAACAGCTAACTTGAGCCTTCGGCTCAGGTGAGCTTAAAACCAATAAGAAAACGTATTGATTACCAAAGGGAAAACTCACCGCTGTGTAAAAATACAGCACAAACTAATCTTAAACAATATTATAAAAAAAAAAATAAAAATGCCACAATGCCGTCAAAATCAAGTAAGCGAAACAAAATTCAAACTTGATCAAGAAAATTATATATTACATTTCCAATGCCGTTGTCCGAGATAAAATTACAAATAGTTAATTTACTTTATTTCCTCATCATTGTACTGGTTCATCAACAGGCGTGATTAAAAAAATTTCGTTGCAGAGCGGAAAATATATAGACAAGAAGCGGGGCTTCTAGCACGCGAATTGGCGGTATGAAGAGTATGCAAATATAAGGAATTATTTTAACTGTCAGATTTTTTGATTTCATGACAATGATCAATCGATTGGCTTGCGTGATATCTTTATGCATACATGTAAACCCCTTCAGCATTTTATGCAAATTATCACGCAATCCAATCGATCGATTACATCATGCAATCGAAAAAAAAGGCATGTATTCTTTTAACAATCACATACCAGAAACCACCTAAATATCTGCAAGCGGTTCCAAATCCATGTGGAACAACTGACAGAGGGACAGACAGGCACCTAAACGGACAGACAGACAGATTAACAAACTCAGAGAAAACATGTAGACTCATCCTGTTTCACAGGTAGGGGTCAATTATTAAACTTCTCCAATGATCTTGACTATGTCAAATGTATATATTTCATGTAGCCATTGCACTTCACTATCATCAAATTCATAGAAAAGTTACCTCCCTTGTAAATGCATATCCTTGATTCAGTTTCTTAGAGAGGAACTTGATGTGATGTGATGTTATCTTATGTACCGTAAATATATAGAAAACATGTCTAGGCATTGGGTACTACACATAAAACACACACTCACCGATTGACAAATTACCATCACTTTAATTATGAAATAAATGCCATAGGTTCGCTGTAGACATTTTTACAATAAATATTGTACATGTACCCTAGTAAATAAGTAAATATGTAATTCACATTACTATCAAATCACAAAATTTCAAATTAATTACTAGAAAAATGATCAAACAAAATGTATGGTTATTGAAGAGTACAAAATTTAATGTCCAAAAAAAAAATCATGTCACAATCACAGCAACTTTTTAACTTCCAATACCACATTAAAGATATCAACCTATTACAAGTGCATGACATAAATTCATAAATTTCTTACGAATAGACATCAAATCAAAAATCTTCATGCTTACTTTCTACATGTATCATGTAAGTAAAAGTTACACCTTAAACACGGTAGCAGCGAACACCTTATAGACATGTAATTGTTAACAAGTGTGCACGTAAAAATCTCTTATGAAACAATATACAAATAAGTTTCATGTTTAACTTACCAACTTGGAAGCTTTCTGTCATGGAAAAAACAAAGACAAACATGATAATCAACACAGTGACTTTTAAAGCAATATGAATAGTAAACAAATTCTACAATTGTAAAGTACATGTAGGTATTTCATCTAAAAAACAGAAGTTTCTGTCGAGACTGAAGCTCTACAAGTTTTTATTTACAACAAAGGAAGAGAAAAGTAGCAGTTGGGGAATGAAACTTTACAGCAGCAATGAAAATAATAATGATCCTTGATTAAGTCTCTTTATGTTCTTAGTGTAGTCTATAATTGCATGCCAGATTATATCATTATCAGACTAAAACTGTATTTGGTTGATTGATTGATTGAATACTGTTTTACGTCCCTCTCCAGAATATTTCACTGATATGGAGACGTCACCATTGCCGATGATGGGTTGCAAATTTAGGGGCTTTATGCTCGGTACTTACGGCCTTTGAGCAGGGAGGGATCTTTATCATGCCACACCTGCTGTGCACGGGGTCTCGGTTTATACGAGTCAATCCTAAAACTGCCCCATTTAGTCGCGTTTTACGACAAGCAAGGGGGTACTGACGACCTATTCTAACCCGGATCCCCACGGGACAACTGTATTTGGAATAGCATTTTGATAGTATTTTACAGAAATTTCTATCTTTAGTAAACAAGGCAATAATGTTCATCAAAACCGAAAAAAATGATGAATAGAATTGTGTATCTTAGTGTAGTCAACTTTTGTACAAAATTATATTGAAACAGAACAAAACTGTAGGAGTAGTATTTTGAAAGTATTTTGAAAACCGATAAAGAGAATCATGTGTCTTAGTGTAGTCTACTTGTGTGCCAAGTTACATTGAAATCACACCAAATTTGTAGGAGGAGTAGCATTTTGAAACAATTTCACAGAAAATTCTGTTTAGTAACCATGACAACTTCGTTAATAAAAATCGAAAACCGATATACCTTATTGTGTATCTTAGTGTAGTCTACTTGCGTGCCAAGTTATACTGAAATAAGACTAAAACTGTCGGAGGATTAGTATTTAGAAAATATTTCACAGAAAATTCTACGTCAAGTAACCATGGCAACACCGTTCATCGAAATCAAAAACCGATATATAGAATTATGTATCTTAGTCTACTTGTGTGCCAAGTTATATTGAAATCAGACAAAAACTGTATGAGGAGTAGCATTTTGAAACAATTTCACAGAAATTTCTATTTCTAGTAACCACAGCAACACCATTCATCGAAATACTAAAAAAAAAACGATGAAAAGAATTATGTATCTTAGTGTAGTCTACTTGTGTGACAAGTTATATTGAAATCAGACCAAATCGGTTTCACTGAAATTTCTATTTTTTAGTAACAACGGCAACACCGTTCACTGAAATCAAAAACCGATACGCAGAATTGTGTATCTTATTGTTGTCTACGTCTACGCTAAGTTATATTGAAATCAGACCAAAATTGTAGGAGGAGTAGCATTTTGAAAAATTTCTTACAGACAGCTAGACGGACGGTCGCCGGACTCATTACTATCGCATAAGCTCTTCTGGTCTCTAACCGCATGCATTTTCTTCGTTTAAGGAGATGGACTCGGACCAAAAGCAGTCAAAGCTTCAGAAACTCATGGTCATCAGGTGTACATTTAAGCAGTTCACAAGCCTTTTAAAAATACTCACTTAGCTAACTCTCAGCTTCTCTCAATATTGTGTATTTTATAATATAAGCCATAAATCATGTGAATTTCATGCGATCTCGTGTCTTCTGATAAGTACTAGGTTCTCTTTTGATGCTGTTTCTAACTAAGGCACTTGCAAATGATTCAAATTCGAATGGTAAATAATTTTAACACAGGAAATACGCATGATTTTTAAATGGAAACTATACAAATATAATGAAACAAACACTGTTAGAGCACTATTTAAAGTAGATACGGAACAAAATATGTTTTACTACATCTATTTGTTCATTAAATTGTTCTATAGTAAACATTAAAATGTGTAATCATAATGAATAAATAAATAAATAAATGATATTCGTAAAATATTAGTAAAAACAGCAATTTCCCTTAAGGGGCAAAAAAATATATATATAATAAAATAATTAGAAAGATGAAGTCGCCAGTTTTAAATGTTTACTTCCGGTTTTCAACGTTTGCTTCCGGTAAGAAGGCAACTCGCCCTCAGCAGCTTGATGATATGACTTTTAGTGGTTTCCGGCGAGTGCGGAAGAAGAAAGTCTGTGTGTCAGAATGAAGAGTGTTTTCCTTGTATTTAACTTTATTTTTTGTTGAAATAAAATATTCATCGTCTTAATCTATCAAAAAAAGTACAGTATCTTTTGTGAAAACTAAAAATTGAAGATTCAACATGAGAAATGTGAAGGTTATCCTCACTGTCGAATTCATTTTTGGTAAGATTTTTCTTTACTATTTTATGAATTTAATGACTAATATCATATAATTTATTTATTTGTAATGTTGTATGCTTATTCAAGAATTCCATTTGATTTATGATAGATAAAATGTTACTTGATTCACCCATTCATTTATTTCATCCAAAGTGCTTATATGCCCCAATCAGATATCAAATAATGTTTAAACAAATTAGTTAAAAATACTTAAGGCTTGGGGGTTGTTTTGAAAAAAAAAAAGATTATTTTCATGCGGTTTGACATCGCTATATGGTACATGTACAATGCGAATTAGAAATATCAGTTTAATAATTTTTTAACGTAGTGAGGACAAATCGAGAAGACAAAGGAAGTGCAATTTAAAACTTACATAAAAATAGACGTTTGTTTCATTTTTTATTTTGGAAATACTTTTTTGAAATTAGCAATGGATTAAAATTGCAGTGCTACCCTGAAATTTCCAAACATGTAACATAAATAGTATTCAAAAGGGTTTAAAACCTGTTATTATACTTTTTATTATATTATTTATCTAGAATTGATATTGTGTTGCAATGGAAAAACCACAACATCTACAACCCTTTCAACCACAAGTATGCCGCCATCAAACAATCTAACATCGAATGCTTCAGTTCCATTTTCTACGACTGCTCAGAACTCGACAAACTCGACAGGAAGTACTACGATACTAACCCCGGTTTCCACAACAACTATTAGTCTTGCGTCAACAAATAATATTACATCGAACATGTCGAATTCTTCGACAACAGTTTCACCAATCAATCAAAACACAACCCTTTCATCACAAAACACAACACTGCTTTCATCTGTGTCCAGCACCAAGAATGGTTTGGTCAATTTAACAACCACAACCCAAATGACCGGTTTAGTGAGTATGGAAAACAGAACTAAGACAATCAGTGGTAATACCTCGGCAACAAGTAATACAACTACAACTAATCAAACATCTACTTTTTCATCGACTCAAGCTGTGAAATTTTACAATGAAAGCACCATCTCAACAACAAAGCAACTTGGCAATATGAGTAATGTGTCTTCAAGTCTCAAAACAACGACAACAATGAAAATGATGAACAGTTCGACAAAAACTCCAACCACAACCACTCGGGTCATTATTTCAACAACCTTAGCAAAAACAAGTCAAAGACCTAGTACAACCACTGTTCCTAAGGTCTTACCGTCCACTTCCATAAAAACTACACAAGCTATGATGACGTCATCAAAAATAACAACGACCAAATTGATGGCGGAATCAACACATGATCAAGTCAAGTTAGCCCCTGGAGAAAGCAAGGATCATGGCGATGTCTCCACAACAGGTATATTTCTCAGGTTAATGAGTACTGAAGCAGGCTTACGTCAATTAGAGGGTCCATGTTTTTTTTTTCTTTTCTTTTTTTTTTTCCACCATAAAAATTTTGTATTGAAATGTTTGTTTATGAGCTGGTTGCAGGATTGTTTAAGCAGTTTCAGTTTGGGGAAACCATTCCCAAATAAAATCCCTTGACAAATTAACCATAATATTGTTTAAATTTAATAAAGGGTGCACAAATATAGTCTATAGTAGGTATGCTATACTCTGAAAAACTAACTAGGAGGGGACAAGTCTAATCCCCCTTAACCCTTCCTTGTCCAGATCATACGACAATAGAATGGCCCCAAGTTACGATAAAGTTAAGTCAAATAAAGGTTAGTTTAATTCAGTGGTGTATTTGTAGAATTTGGAACTGAAAGAATTTGGAACACTCAAGCCCTAACCCCCCACCACCCCCCCACCCTCCCTATTTTAATAGGCATATGGTGAGAAATACCCTTCATTTTTCCTTCATTGTTGAAATTATTCACTTCTTCCATAAACATGGAAGAAGAAAGTAAATTCAGTTTCATTTTAACCCCAAGTATACGTTAAACTTTTACTACTTTTAGTACACACTGTATATTGAAGTCTGAATATGCTAAAAATCAATGTATTAGATTTTCTACAGCAGCTTTATGTGCCTCTTCGTAACGAAAGAAACTCTTGTGTAGCACGCCCTTTGACAATGGACACACAACAAAATAATACCCAGTCCTAACATCTGATGCTGTCAAGTAAACATGTACCTCATTAAATATATGTATTCAATATAAATAAGGGTATCCACGATATGCACATACAGAGATAATCATTTTGTCGAAATTCATTCATCTGTTTAACCAAAATGAAATCAAAATCTCCTTACATTTATATCGATGTAAATCAGCGATGATTGTGTTAAATAAAATCAACCAAAGTATAAAATTGTGATTTCTTTTAAAAAAATTTTTCTTTCCTTGAACGGTTGTGTTTAAAAAGGAAGGAAATTACTTAAATTGTTACTTTCTAGGAAACTACACTTAGTGCATGTATCGACACATCTAAAATGTGATCACTTTTCATATAAATTTTGACTTGTAAATATCAGAATCATTCATATTAGGATGTGTCCTTGAAATGAAATAGAGTATATTTAAATAGCAAATAGTATTTCAGCTAAAATGTATATTTTAAACAATTTCAAGTCAGATGAAACGTAAACCTCTAAAACATGAAAGGTTGGATTCGGCCATACATGAATGATCGACATCCCCCGCCAATTAGTCACACCCCGTTGTGCTTCCAATTATGATCAGTAAATAATGAAATATTTTTAGTTTGTATGTAATGACCCTTCACAGAGTATAAAAAACATAAGTTAGAATTTGACAAAATGATAGATTATATTTTGTGGACAATGCTTTGAAACCAACTATATAATTTACGAAACGATGCTTATAAATAAGTGTTTCTTCAACTTAATATTTTTTCATTTACTTACTTTGATTAAGAAATTTAAAAACAAACAAATTCACTACCTGTGTAATTGTTTAGCATTAATACAATCATAAATTGTTTTAATCTTTTTGGCCATTCTGTTCCTCATTTGTTGCTTATTATGTATGTTCAGTCTTTTGATCAAGTATATAAAATAATAGATAGTGTGCGACCCAGTTTCTGACCAAATTATGTTTTTTTTTATTTTAATTTTTCCTTCATTGGTATTTAAAAGGGTATATGCATTTTTTAAATGTGTCACATGATTAATTTTTCTTAACTTATGATTTGTTTACTTTTATTCTATTGTTGTAAAAGAAGCATTTAAGCAAATAATGTGATTGGTATTTCTAAGAGTCACATGATTGATTTGCCAGTAATCGTGTGATTTTGTTTATGTTGTAGTTGCAGTCTCTGTGGTTACTGTCGTCATCTTCATCTTGATTTCGGCTTTGATAATCATCTGCATCTTAAGAAAGTTTGTATATTTGTCTTTATCTATTTCTTATAATAAGATCAAATATATCTTTTTATTTTCTTTTCCCTTTAAACTATTCCGTGTATAAAATGAGAAAAAAAGTTATTTTTCTTGTACAAGAACACTACATATTTAAATGAATTTCTTTCTCAGGCACGCGGAAGAGTAAAATTGTGTTATTAAGCTTTTTTTGTCAATTACTTAATGCTTAAGAATACATGTTTAAGCTAAGTATATTTGTTGAATTCTGATTTCAAACTAGTTACTGATGGGTAAATGAGCAGTTCGTTCATAATGTTCTTTGTTTGTTCTGGCAATTTTTCGAGTTACAACTTTTGATGTAAAGCGATGTGTATTTTTTTTCTTTGAAGACGCTCGAATTCCAGAGAAAATCCGAAAATAAACACAAACACCGGTTTCACACCGACGGTACATTCTCCAAGCAACATAAAACTGGATTTCGAAAATCTAAATGACGCATCCGCACCAGGGGAGTTTCACCACAAATCTATGATTGACCTCGAATCTCCCACACCCGAAAACGAGGCTTTGCAGACCGTAGCTTTATTGGATCATGCAACGGATGAGTTTGGCTCAAGAGAAATAACCACTTTTCACACTAGCAAAAACGAGAAAGAGGATGAATTAAACGCATCTGGGAATCAAAATGTTGGGGATAACAGGATTCTTCCGACGATGACTCATCGGAAGAAGAAGACGAGGAACCGGAAATGGGGGAGAAGAATAATGACAAGCGTCAAGTTAACCCTGAAGATAAAAGTTTACCGGAAGTAGGGAATGGTGAAAAGACAGTGAATAGCAATTCCGTGTCTGACGTTGCAGTGAAGGAAGATAGTTCGATGCCAATGACAAATTTTGTTTTGGAATCTGAAACTCCAAACGCTCTTCCTCAAGAATCTCAAAGAAAAAGTGTTAAAGTCTCTGAGCTTTGATAAAAATGATGTTAGATAAAAAACTAACGTGTGTACTTCTACATTGGGAAAGTGTAAAATGTACACGATTTCTCTAAAAGACCTTTACAATTGTGTAATTGTCTTTTTTAGATTTAAGAAACTCATGTCCTTTTGTATGCAGTTTGTATTTTTTTTTTTACCTGTCAAATATGAATTTAAATGACATGGATTTATAAAGTTGTGTGAGCGTGTGATTTATTTCTTAATCCAGAAGCGCAATTTCTTTTTTTCTATTTTATTCTTCTTCCTCAAAAAAATGCATGTGTTTATATAGGACAAAAAAAATCAAGTTTTATCGTGATTGGAATATTTTCTGTGCATATTTAGAGGACAGAAATCCCCCCCCCCAGGTTATGTGGTCGAAGCTTTATTTTTGGGAGGGGACGGGGGTGTTATAATATTGTTACAAAAAAGGAAACAAAACACAAAAAAACTGTATTTGAATATAATAAGACTTAATTCAGTTTTTTGGGGATTTGTTTTGCTTATATCTATGTCCAAATATCAAATACTGGTAATACAATGAATAGAAAAACGTAATACGTAATTTTTGAAATATAGAAAGGTTTAAAATTGGTTCAAACATGCATACAAACTCATTTCTTATGGACTTTCTCCTAGGTTCAAATTAACGTATACATTACCAGTTAAACATTTCAAGCTACGGTTTACCAGGAAGTTAACGTATATCTAGGACAATCAATACACTAATTTCATACACTTCCTGCTTCTTATATAAAAGGGATGCTTAATTTACAATGTTTTATAAACGTGAATGAAAGTGTTTCTGTTAATTTGTTTGTGTTCTTTTTTTTGATTCATAATTTATCATTTTTAGAATTAATTAATTTTAATTCAATTTTAATTATTTTATATTTTCCTTTCATCAGCTTCCGCTTAAATCAAAGCCACATGCATTACGGGCATACAAAGAAAGAGGGCTTAAATAGGCTTTGCCTGCTGCCCCATCCCATTCATTTTATGTGAATAATAATATTTTGTATTTAAAAAAATACAAAGAAACATCACATTGATCCTTATGATTCATTTTCATTAAAAATGCACATG